TTCTTATCTTGTTTACATGCAGTGCATAACATTGAAATAATTATTTGATTTTGCACGATATCATCCTCTGTAGAGAGAAAAGGAGATGAACTAAAGCCAAGGTAAAGCGCGCTAACTTAGTCTAGAAAACTCACAAGGCGCAAAGGAACGATACTCAAGCAGGGTACGTTTGTTTTGTCTTTTTTTTTTTAAACTAGTTCAGGTTTTTAGGTTATGAATGCGACCATTTCTTCTTATACAAATCCTAAATTATTTCACCCACTGCGCAACTTAAACATATTTATCCCTTTAGGAAGATCAAGCTATGTATCAATGGACCAATGGGATTTCAAAGCTCATCACTGTTTATTTCCGCTCTAGTTTTCAAGGGCTCTGAAGTTTACTTCCGGTCTCAACATTTCAAACAGCATGCAGTGCGCAGACGTGTATGAGAGTCTCAATGGGGTTAACCGCTTGCCATAAAAGGGCCGCAAAATGTAGCCGGTTGGCGTAAACATTGACAACTTTTAACTGACAACCGTAACAAAATTTAACCGTAAAAAAATTACTGCTGACAACAATGGAATGTTATTTACCGCTAGCCGTAAAATGGCCAAGATTTTAAACGTTAGCCATAAAAGCTAATCGACTGGAATGTAAAAGAATAACAACTGGGTCCGCCATACATGAAATAGGTCTATGAGTTGGTGAAGTATCTTATTATTGCTTTTAACAGGTAGAGACTATTTTAGAACTTCCATTGGCCACGGATATCCGATTGAGAAACTCTCACACAATTTTTCAAGAACATAGTGAACATTTTGAAAGTCATGTCTAGTTCTGACGATTAAGGTTCGCCAGAGAAGCCATACCCCAGCGAACCGAGTATGGCAGCTTCTTCACCTTCATCACTTGCCAGTTCTGAAGAAAAGACAAATGGAGCCAAGCTCAGAAGACTTCTTATTGATGGTGGTACAGCGGTTTTGAGGAACTGTTTCGATAGCTTTCACCCCCCTGCCAAACTAGCTTCTGGTCTTAACGCTAACTATTTGACGCTGGATGCTCTTCTAAGGAAAAAGGTGTTGCGTTCAGTCCAGTGGGATCAACTTTTCCCACCTGGCGGAGATCCACCTGACTCCAAAGAGTTTGATATCACTCTTCTGTTTCTCCTTTTGACCAACATTTGTGGTCTAACCCCTCCTTCCTCGGGATGGCACTCGAAGCCACCTGTTAGCGACACCTCTCTTGAGGCCAACCTTGCCCGTGTGAAGTTTTTCCGCAATGAGTTGTATGGCCAT